TCTTTAGACGGGCTAACATGCTACAGCAATTACAAACATTTGAGCATATGCCAAACGTCACATGAGCTTCTCTGGACCGTACTTCAGAAAAAAGGAAGGATTACTTGTCAATATCTCACGAGGCTTATCCAAGTGGTGAGAACGATACAGTAACAAAATGGAGAGTGCATGAATCGGCGATGACCAACGCCACAAAATATAAATTTGAATGCTTCCAAGACAGGCTAACAGAAGTGGGATGTCTGTCACACATATAGATAACTACTGAACAAATAAGATGAGTGGTACTCATCATGCACCGTAAGTGTTACTAAGTTATACGAAAAGCCAATTATCTTTTAGAGTCCGCAATTTGCTTAAGATACTGATTGCACATGTTTTTGTTCTACTAATTGAAAATTTCCCACCGGAAAAGAAAATGGTACTTCACGTTCTCTTGAGAAAGATTTAGGAGGAAGAATAAATACCAACAGACCAGAAAGAAGGGTACCTGAACAGGATACCAAAGAAGGGCAATTTGATCGAGTGCGAGAATCACGGATGCATCACAATACTATCAGTACAAGAGAGTTTCCAACAGTGTCGCGAGACCAAATGAAAAAATTCAATGGACATCCAACCTTAAGATCAACAAAACGAATTTCGTGTGGATCGACTATGTGCCGACCGAATTGCGACACTTTGGATCATCGCCAAGCAAGCGATTGAATGAAGCTCGTCACTATACATCAGCTTCTTCAACTACGAGGAAGCATTCGACAGTGTAGATAGGAAGTTCTCGTGGAACCTCCCTCAACATTATGGAGTACCTGACGAGACTGTCACCATCATGTGGAAATCTTACGAGTGACTGAAATGCGAAGTTGTGTCTGGAGGACAACTCGTTAACGCATTCCAAAGCCAGAATTTTTAACAAGAACGTTGAAAGCTTTATTGTGGGGAGATGAAACATGGAAAACTACTACAACCAACATGAAAAAAGTAACAGGTTTTTATAAACAGCTCTTCAGACAAAACGCTCCATATCCATTAGCCAGACACCATGAAGAACCCATTGTGTCAGCGAACAGACCGGCTTTCATATGAGCCGGAAATTAAGGAGACACTCGAGACGATAGGTGACACTGTATGAAAATCAAACTGCACAGAGTTAAGCCCTATCTTGGAGTCAAGAGAAGCGGGAAAGAGGCAAATAAGGAAAAATTTTACACTGGTAATCAATGTCGGATACCAAAAGTATGAATAGTAACTGAAAGCTAATGAAGAGGACTAAGCATGATAGATTTTGATGAATATTCTTGATGGGCGGCCCACGCTTATCTAGGAGGAGTAACAGACGTATATAAGTAAATATGTAGAGTATTATCATTGTGGTTCATCCATCTTAGAGTTAACAATTTTCATCACATCGGAAAGTAATTTTAAGTAAAATACTAACGCCGATTAGTTGCTTTACATTTCATACGTTTCAATATAATAACAATCGTTTCCAGTCTACTGTCTTACAAGCCTTTGAATGGCCAATCTAATATAGACGCTTTCAGTGTACATTTGATCGTCATTTAGGCATTTCAGATTCAAGCCCATAGTTATTGGATTTTTGGTGTCCAACGTCAATATGTAGTGATATTGCCTAACATTCCTGTATACAAGTCGCTAAAATGATTTTTCACAACAAATCTTAATATGACACTTCAAACTTTCTCAATAAAACTCTATAGGAAGCTGTGTTGTTCTGGATAATACTGTTGATGTGTGGAACTTGTTCGATCACAATAAAAAGTGTAATTTCATTCGTCACAAAGTTTTTGATGTTGCAATAATCTGGTAATAATAAAATTATACACCTCTCACCACGACAGATTCTCTCTTCATTGTTCTGGCAAAGCAACTTTCAAAAATTTATTATATTTGGTTAGTTTATCTGTGAAGGGATTTTATTGATCGTCGCAATCAAAAAACATCCAGATTAGGTCCAGTGAAATTCTTCTTTCACATAAATCCTTGACGTGAAAGTCTGTAATAATCATCTAGAAAAAATCACTAATCTCTGAAGCCAAATAGTTTGGGAGATGTTTATCGACAAACAATACTAAGTGACAATAGAGCTATACGACGAATCATCATTATTATTTGAAGATGGCTCTTACAAAGGACGTTTTAAGCTCGCTAATCAATTTGAGACAAACGCAGAAGTGGTAAATTAATTCCATTCAATACTTCGAGCGATGTTTCCAAATAATTAAACAGTATATGTTGTAGTATATGATAAACAAAAACTTTGTGAATCATCAGTTTCATTAGTACATTTACTGGGAAGCCAACCAATACGTCCCACAACTTGATAGTCTATTGGGTGGGGGATCAATAATATCCAATTGATCTTCTGGCAAATTTACATAGAGCCAATCGGTTTTAAAATTTCAATCAGCTTGTTCACTTCGGAACTAATTCCGTAAAGTATCTCATCATTATCTAGGTGATTACATTGTTAATAAATGAATCAGTTTTACTCAGTAATTATAATAATCATGGTCAATTTAAAAAAGGACTTTTTGATTAAGAACAGTTGCAACTAATGAATAACTGCTCCCAAGAACTTCAATGTTTAATGAAACACTTCATATGAACTTATTACAACCCACAACCTATACTGCCTAATATTTAAACACGTCTATACTCATTAATTTGTGTATGACATTATTGAAATTGGTTAACCGACCAAGTTAGTTTAGTGGGTCATATGAATGCTCTTATGTGTGTATCAGTAATATATTACGTAAGAAAACAAAATGAACAAAAACATTTACAATTTATTGATAATCACATAGAATTAAATTATTTCGAACTTTTCCATCACTTGGCTGGTAAAAAAATCATAATCTAACAGTTTGTTTTCGCTTTATGGCCATTTCTATTTGTGGTCAAATGATTCGAATAATCTACACGTGATAAGAAGTAAGCCTTGAAGGGTGAACTCATTTTTTGTAAATCTAAGTTGTTCAAGGAAACTTAGACAACAATTATATACGACTATCACCTTCCTCACCCTCTTTCAAGTAATCGATTATATCAAAACAACTAAAAAAGATCAAATTGAAAGACAAATTTCAATATCAATGATAAATCTAATGTTTTTGTTTTGTCTCCCACTTATTTTGTGCTTTCAGTTTCTTCTTTCCTTGTTTATTATTTTAAGAACAGAACCACGAAAACAGGAGGAAAGAACACGAAACAAAATAGAAAACAGAAACAACCATATAGTAAAAATAAAACGGGAGAGACCGGCAAAAAATGAAAACGCCAAAAAAACAAGTAAATAAAAGATAAAATAAAATGCGCAGCACACAGCAGCTATGAATGAGATGCAAAGTGAAAATTTCTCTTGTTTTTCTATTATTCTAACAAATAAATCTCTCCTTAAGAATAAGTCATATAAAAAAATAGAAATAATTAAATATTATTATCAGAGACAGTATTAATAATAATTTGCTCATTTTTATGTACGTATATATATTTATGCATATGTATATATGTGTGTATGTTTAATTACTCACACCAAATGACAAACAAATGTAAAATAATGAATATAAACATTTTTTACAGTGTGATGAAACGTAAGATGTGGCAAAAAATGTCATATTTTCCCCATAGATATATTGTGTATTCCAATCGATTAATGAACATGTGAATTAAACTGGTAGCAAAATAAAACAAATTACATCATGTGGATTTGTGTAACCACCATAGGAAATCAAATGAATAAATTTTGTTACTACAAATTGCCTGGCATTGTTTTTTACATTATCTGTACACACCAACTAATATTTATGTAACTATTAAATTATCATACCAAGAGTGTGTGGGTTTACTTTAATCAGGGAGAAAGGAAAAAAATGGGAAAAACATATTTTGTGATGAGTGAAGAGAGAAGAATCAGGGAGAATAAATAATTAACAATTGCCAAACACATTGAAGAATAAGACTAAGTTCTCAAATACAACTGAGTTTTATTAATCAATCTGATGGAGTAGCTTAGTATTCATAGGACTTCATTTATCAATTGTAGTATATATATTCGGGATAATAAATAATACACAAAAGTTGAAATAATTTCTATTCACAAAATATAAAAGGAACATTCATTGATAAGTTTTAAACAGAAAATTTAAAATGTCTTTCAAAAAAAATTTCAATTTCTTATTTTGATAATAAGACAAACAATTTTATAAATAAACATTACATTATAATGAATTTGTATTTGTTACGTTTTGAATATTATAGATGTAAAATAAAAAAAAGAAGAGTAAAGTTTGTATCCAATAACTTCATCGACTAATATATACTGTAAACATATTCACCGATAAAAAATAATTGACTAAATTTACATTGAATATAAGATAACTGAAAGTCAAGGGATTAGATAGTTTCTGTTAACTTTATTTTATTCATAAAAATGTGTATAACGAGTACATCTTTTAGTAAGTATTTATTAGCTTTCCTATTCATATAGGAATAATACGCAGCAATAGTATTAGTATTAGTATAGAAAAAGTATAATCCACTATAGATAATTACTATTCATACAAATATTAGCCAATCAGATTCAGACAGATAGGGAGTGGGTGGAATTTTGCATTTGATTTAAGATTGGTTAATTTAACTCGAATAATTGAATGAATAAAATCAAACACAGCGTAAATGGTCAATTAATGATGAATGGAAGTCATTCATTTTACCAATAACAGTAAATAACGAGTAGAATGGAGCAGTTTTATAGAATATTAATCAATAATCTTACTGTAGTACTTTGATAATGATAATGTTTTATTTATAAGGTATCTTTACAAGTTAGTAATATATATATAATCTCAAAATAATTGCTAACATTTATCTTATGAAATAACAATAAATGCTATAAAAAAAAGTATATGCATGGAAATTTAAGTATTTACACAGTAGAAATTTAGTGCATAATATGACTTGATTAAATGAAAGTATATGGGAACAATGATAAGCAAAATTTATTATGTAATTAAATAAACCATTAACTAACTACTACCATGTTTTACATCACAGGTAAATGAGGATGATTCACATTGACGGTTTTTTTATTTAATGGATAGGCAGCTAGAACATGATGAATAAATTCATATTGTTCATTACTTTGTACCATACCGCCACGATCTAATCTCATTCGACTCACTATTTTTAATACATCAACCATACCTTCTTTTTCAAGTTGTTCACAACCTATACACAAAGCAATAAAACAACCAGTACGTCCAAGACCTGCGCTACAATGTACAATAATTGGTGCATCTTCATGATCCGATTGATCTAATTCCATTTTTTGTAAAGATGGAATTAGTTTAGGACGATAGGATGAAGCATGAAAACATTGAGTATCTGGTGATGTTTTACAATATGTAAAATTTACATCTTCATCATTATTATTTGAATCGATTTCAGATTTATCTGTTGATTTTACTTTTGACGATGAACTAGCATTTTTACGACAAGTTTCAACAGCTTGTACAAGTTCAATTAAACTACGTACAGAAGCGGTGGCTTCAGGGGATGAATGATCAGGCCATGCAACATACCAGAAATGAATAACTTCTCTATTTTCTGTACCACACTAAAAATATAAAGGAAATCATTTAGAAACAATAGATTTAATTGCTTTTAATTAATTAACTAACATAAAATATAGTAAAAACAAAATTAAATTAAATTATTTGCAAGTAACCTCAAAAATTATCTTCTAAATGATTTATATATTCTATAAAAAAATTAGGATATCGTTAAGTAAAAGATTCTTCCAATATCTTTGAAAGCTGTTAACGATTTAACATATTCGAAATTACGTTAAACAATAATTTAGCACTTAGATTTGTATTTCACTCCGTGTGAAATCATATGGTGAACGTAATTCCAGGACTAATGGATGGACATAAACTTACTATTGATATAATGAGTGTGTGGATGGATCTGTAATCACTGCTATTGACAAAAATTATTATAAAAATTCATCTACATTGTGTTAATGGTGACCGCAGGGCATCAGTTAAAGTTATGAGGAAATAAAACTAAATATATATTGACAATTAGTCAGATAAGATAAATAAATATATGATACTTTATGGAATCAGTAAGAAAGATAACGGGCATCAAATCTTAAGGAGGTTTTTAAGTTAATCATCCATGCTTGTGAATTCTAAAGTGGAGTAAGTAAAAATTTGAAGATTAACGACATCGAACTAGAGATGCTTTACAACTCTCATTTATAGCTTTCAAAATATCAATAAATCAAATGGTTATTTAAGAGATGTTTTCATGGTTATATATTCACATTGATCAATGTAATAGAAATCTTAATCTATAATAAAACAGCTAGACAAACCAGATTTTCTAAAAATTGGATTCCTGTGAACGTTAGACACCTATCTTAGTGTTGTCATTAGATATGTATCAATTTTTCAAAAGTACAGCAACAAATGAAAATGTTGAAGCAATCAGTAAACAATATGAATTGTGTTCAGTACTTATGATGCAGTTGAAATAGCTATTTAACACATATACAAAATACGTTCAGCAAAAATTTATCAGATGATCACTAAGTATATAAACAGCATGACTACGTACATTATTGAACAACTGTGGTATACAAAGAAACATTAAATCTATAATACTATCAGTAAAACTCGAATTATACAAGGTTTCGAATTAATCTTTAAACAATTTATCACAACGTAGGTATTATTAAAAATCTACGTAGTTCCGTAGACTTTATTCTCAATAAATAGATTTCTTCATTTATTAAACAATAAGTTAATGTTCGTGAGATGGGTTACATTAAAATCAATACATTCATTTCTCAAGAACAAAAATACAACTTACGGTGGTGAAAAAGGAGACAATGGTTAAAATTAACTAATGTCTATACAGTGACTTCTTGGAATTCAGCTATTAACTGTAGTAAATATGTGGAAAATAATGTTAATACATATTCCTTGGATTATTCAGTTTATTAGAAGTCATGTCGACCATTTCAACTAAATTGATTGATTTGGTCCTTTATTGTTGTTATTAAAACACATAAATATTGGTAAAAAGGGGTACGGAATACATATGCGCCACACAAGTCACTTGATGTGTGTGGGCTGTGATACTTCCCGGGTGTCCAGACCGAAGTAGGTGGTTTTCTTAGGGAGTCACACCCCGATCCTTTGACCCAAAGGTTTAATCCACAAGGAAATGGAGCAGCGTAAAAAGATGCAGTCCCATGGTAGCCGGTGACCAACGATTGGTTCATACGCCATTTATTCCTTCAGGATTCTGGAGTCCATGTGCATCAATGGTTTGAAACCAGGGTTCTCCCACTCCCCTGGGTGGACCCTCCGAATCCACCAACCCGGTTAATGCGCAGGACATTCGCTTTGTGTCCTCTGAATTTCGTAAACAACACACCCACCACGAGAAGGCAGTGACTGAATACGCGTGACCATGTGAGAGCATTTCGAGAGGGAGACCGGGCTCTTCCAACCCTCGGCCGTACCGAGGCATTTGGGGGCTTTTGACAACAAATATTAAATCTTTGATCAGTTTTTATTGGTATATGTACGTACTGTGTCGATTACCTCGATATAGCAATTATTTCACAAGTTCATGTAGAATAGGCAATCCTCACATGATCAACATTTTCGAACTAAGACTGTGCGAATTTCAGTTAAACATATCAACAACCTGACAACAATACAAACCATTTCAAATTAAATTAAAATTCATAATTGTTACACAAATGAGTGGCTATGTGGACTCAGTATCTAAATGGATAACGTGATGGCATTTGAAGAGGACGGTAGTCGGTTCAAGTGTAGGGATGAACATTAATTCTAAGATGCAGGTACGTGTAGCTAACGAGTTTCAAAACGAACAAAACATGTATTCTGGATACCGCTACTAGCCACATTCCATCTATTGCATATAAACATTAAACAATCAACTATTCTAAACGTAAACTTGTTTTCTTTTCAACCACTCTTTAACTGATAGTTTCTTTCTTTGTTTTACTAGGTAAGAAAAGGATAACAAACATAAATCGATGTATTAATCATTGTCGATTTCATGATTGTTTTAATTAGTAAATATCAATTGGAATGAAACTAACTCAACATGATAGCAAGATTTGAGTGAATCATTAAAATACACATATTGAGGGTTTCAATGAAATGAATTTAATAAAAATTATGAAACGAACACCATATTATTGATAATTATTAGTGACTACGTGTAGATATTATTATTATTATTATTATTATTATTATTATTATTATTATTATTATTATTATTAGAGTAAAACATAATAATTCTAGGCTTAACAGAGGATGAATTAGTTTTTATGAATTAATTGATTTTATTTATACCACATAAGTTCTGTTATAATAAGTCACCAAAGTTGTACCAGAAAAATAAAATACTAATACTGTAAAACATAGAGAGAAATGTTGAGCAATAAATAAATAAATGAACAAGATTAGTATCTATCAAAAGATACAGTTCTGTTAGAGTTATGAAGAATTTCAGTTATAAAATAAAAGAAAACTACAGTAAAGTTGATACCAGTTTTCATTGTAACATCAGATAACATAAAATCACTGAATTCTATAATGTCTAGAACACCAAAAATCAGTGTCATCATGACGAAGCGAAACGTTTGAGTTTTATATAGCTATCCTTCAAACTATGAGCTTAAATAGTTGGATTATTTGATAGTAAATTATTTAACTTATTCTTACTGCATTCAATTAAACGTTCATTATCATTTGGACCGATTGATTTTCGCAGTAAATATTTATTGTTTTGACATTTTAGGCAGATTGATTAAAAAAAAACACTAACAGTAACAAGTTCAAAAAGCTATCCAACTAATTTCCACATAATAATAAATTGATAATAGGCTCTTATTTATAATCAAGCTACTACTTCATACAAACAAACAAAAAATAATCGCCCATACACAATTAGGAGGATAAAATGTAATGTTTCATTATAAATATGGATATTACCCCATAGAAAATGTTTTCCTCTATTCTGTAAGATAAGTCCAACTAGCAATATGTAATCCCATTCTTAATGATTAAAACAAAATTAGATATATGTGTATAATCATACTGCTGAAAAACTTGTACGGTAGATCTACTTGGTGCATATAAGAAACAGGAGAACAGTCTAAAATAGCTGTCCCCCTCAAGACTACATATAGATCAATTCTGTTCTATATATTAGTGGTTCAGTGATTAGCCAATTAAAAACTGTTCAACTTTCGACAATAAAATCTGGAGATCAAATGTTAAACCTAATAAATTAGGATGAACCGATGGAATAATATCACTAGTCTTTTTATACGAAAAAAATTCAGTCAGTCAGTCAGCTACAACGTGGGATCAGGCACATACATGCATCGGTCCAAGTTGCCATACCTCATTAACACAACAAGATGGACACCGGATTCATAAAAGTAGTTAATTCAATGGTGGTAATGTATAAAAGAAAGATTGCATATCAGGATATAGTACAGGAAAAAAGAATTAGTTCGTAGAAAGATATGAAGCGATTTTAATCTTACGGTTTAAGGGAGAACAAAGAGTGTATACACCTACGCCATTGTGATCGATTCTGAGACATGTCACCAAGAGTTTCCAACCATTGGTTACGATAGTCACGCGGACCACAACCAAGTAGTCTGCATCTACCAACATGGCTCACACTAGAAGTTAGCGACTTCAAGGACTGATGCCACGTTTTGGTTTGACCAATCCTAACTTTCTTCCAACCATCTCCAACACTAGTCAGCATTACGTGTCGTGGTAATCGGTGTTCAGGCATACGTAACACGTGGCCCAACCATCTTAGTCGATGAAGATTTACAACCTCATCAACTGATTTTCCATCGTTCCCTAGCACCCTGTGTCTAACCTCACTATTACTTACCCGGTGATCCCAGCAGATGCCAGCAATATTTCTAAGGCATCTGTGGTCAAATACTAGTAGCTTACGAGTGTCTTCTACTCTTAATGGACATGTATCGCTGCAGTAAATTAAAACAGAACGGATTGCCGCGCAGTATAATCGTCCTTTTATTGATAGACGGATATCTCGCCTTCACCATAGGTGACGTAGGTTGGTAAAAGCTAAACAACCTTAATGAATCCATGCGGAGATTTTGTCAGATACCAACCCATTAACACTTATCAGACTTCCATGATAAGTGAATTTGTCGATGCGTCCGACTACTTCACTCCCTATCCTTAGTTTAGGTGTTGATGCAGGCCGGTCCTAAGACAACAACTTGCATTAAAAGGGAGGAGAAACGCATCCCAAACATCCTGACATTGTTGCTCAGTGCTACCAAAAGACTGCATTTTATCAACGTCTTCACCAAACAAGACTATGTCATCTGCGTACTCTAAGTCGATCAGTGGACCTGCTGGAAGGAGATCAATGCCAAATAATTCAGTCGACGAGAACGTTGTTTCCATTAGTAGGTCTATGATGAAGTTAAACAAAAATGGAGAAAGTGGACAGTGTTCGAGTAAAGAGCCTTCACAAGGTTTATGTACTTCTGAGGTACACCTTTCAATGACAGACAATGCCACAGAATCTCACGGTCTACAGAGTCAAATGCTGCTTTCAAGTCAAGAAGAACTGTCATTGTCGGACGCCGGTAAGTATATCTGTGTTCGAAGATCTGATGAATGGTGAATTTGTAATGGATGCAGCCACGACCAGGTCTGAAACCAGCCTGATTTCCTCCTGTTTGCACTTCACGAGTCTTTGTTAAGCGTCCGATAATTATCGAGGCTAATATTGTAGATGCTATATTAGTCAAGCTAATCCCTCTATGGTCATCACAGGGGGGTTTTGACCCCTTCTTATATATTGGGGCAATCAGTGATTGTGACCAGTCAAATAGAATTACGTCCAACTCCCAAATTTTAGGTAAAATATTAGTCAACCTAATCGCTAAATTTGAACCACCATACTTAAAGATCTCTTGAGTCAATCCATCTGCACCAGTTGCCCTTCCTCGTTTCAGATTAGCTATAGCTATTTGAACTTCAATTACAGTCGGGGGACCTATTTCAATGTTCTATTCAGACTGTTGAAATGGTGGGTAGCTATAGAGTAGCTTAAGGCCAGCCGAACTGCTCCTCAAAGTGTTCCGTTCATCGTTCTAAACGTCTAGACTGAGAGCAGATAAGAGTGTCGTCTTTTTCCGAGATCGCCTCACTTACACTTGACTTCCTAATTCCAGTTTCTTTTATTAGTCTGAAAAGCTTTCTAGTGCTACCTACAGCCACTGTCCTTTCCATTTCTTTTGCTTTGGTTGCTTGCCATTGTTCATGATCCTCTAGCGAACTTCTGGTTAAACTAGATCTGATTTGCTTTCTCTCTTCATCGTGTTCAGAGCCTGATAGGATGAGTTTACGAGAATCCATTAGTGCAATAGACCTTGAGGAAATCCATTGGTTCTTTGTAACCTTTTGGTTTAAATCACTAATAGATGTCACAGCTGCTTGTATATTTTTCCAAGAAACATCTGTGTCAGCCTCGTTTTCAGAACTACCTAAGTGTGACCTCAGTTGTTTCTGGGACCTATTTTTGGTTTTCTCGCTACTCAATTCAGTTCCAATGGGTTTTCTTAATGTGGTTTTTCTGAGTCCAGAAAGGCGCAAGCAAACGCGTGCTCGTATTAAAGCATGATTGGAGTTCAAACAGGTATTTCAGAACGAGCAACAGTCTTCTACCGAGCCTCTCCAGTGATGATCGATGGCAATATGGTTTATTTGAATCCATCGTTGGTTTGGTGCAGGGGGTCGCCATTTCAGGCGATGTCTCTCCTTATGCTTAAAATTCGTGTTTGCTAAAAATAAACAATTGACTGCGCACAGTTGCAGCAGACGATCACCATTATCTGTTAACTGAACCGGAATACTAAAATACCCACCTAAATGTCTTTGGTTTAAGCTGCTTATCTGGGCAGTAAAGTCACCTCCTACGAGTACTATGTCTGTGTGTTTAGCTTTTTGAAGAATTTCAGAAAGCTTTCTGTAAAATTCATCTTTCATTTCATCCAGGCTGCAGTCAGTGGGAGCGTAAGCGGAGACGACAAAAGGCAACGACGTGTATCCCTGTAACTCCGAATTCTTATGGTACCGTTCAGCCGAATAGCACATGGACGACTGTTAACGGGGATCCACTCTAATAGTGTTAGTCCCACCCTCGTACTTAGTGCTATGCCTACACCTGCCAGTCCACGAGAACTATCCATCGAGTAGTCAGATACAATGAGGGTGCATCTCGCAGACTCTCCGTTTTGGCAAGGTGAAGTCAAGTGAATGACCACACTGAGATCCTGCATGCGTGTTTCGGATACACAGCGTACATCAATTCTAGGGTTTTAGCCAAGGAGGCCTGCTGACCGATTCGACATAGGGTGCGTATGTTGAAGGCTGCAATGTGTAGTTTGGAGCGAGGTTTCAGTAGACTTGGGACAGTGTTTTGCGCACTAGAATCGTTGGCTATGGTGACACTTGAGGAGGAAGCCAAAAGAGGAAGTTTAGAGTTCAAAATCGATGTAGGAGGAATGATAGGAATTGAAGAGGGAGGTTGGTTATGAGTGGTCCTGAGTGCTGTTAGAGATATGAGGGCGATTATCACTTCCCGGTTGCCCACAACGTGTAAGGGTTCTTCTGGAGGCACCTGAAAAGGAAATTGGGTTAGAGGTGGTCTTAGTGACCTGAGAGCGTGATCTCAGTGCCCAAGGGACAACTGCTTAAGGTCAATCACACACGTGTTGAGGCCTTGCCGCCGGAGACGGATATCTGTGGGATAAGGCGGGGTGTGCATTTTTATAGTCGATCTTTTCTAACCCTATCCCCTCCTCGTGGGAAGGCAGCATCGCCGTCATGCTGGTTGTCTGAAGGAAACACCTTACTGTCACCACACCTCTGTACAGTCAGCAGTACGACTTCGCCTTCGGAACTTGGGTTTGTTGATATTAGTCTTAGCGCTCTTCAACCGACCTGTCTAGCATGGTAGGACCTTGAGGAATGGTTGTTCCAGCCAGTAAAGCTTGGTTGCTTTATCACAATAGGCAAGCCCAACCACCACGTCAAGGTAGCAGCAACAGTCGAGACGAAAAAAATTAACTCAAAGTAAAGTGTATAATTTAATACTTGGTTAATGAACCATATTAGATGACCAAATATTTTATTGAAATGGGGGTTTGTGGAGATTGTAGTAATTTTAACAGTTGAATTCATGAGTCGATGTAAACTAGACCACCGTCGAAAACCTGGAAGAACATCAACTCAAGAACTCAACTATTAAAATCTCTACAACCTCCACAAACCCCCATTCTAATAATGATCATCATGTGCTCACGAATGACTGTCTTCAAGATAGATTTCCTGGAGTTTTAGTGAGAAGTCGTGACCAGTGGAGTCCAATCCGAGTCAGGTAGAGACAGTTATATACCTCAAACAATGGATGAATGGTTGCACAAGATCATGGATCGATTGAATTTAAACATTAACACCATTGGATGCTGACTCAGTTGTCTAGAGTTTAAGCGTTCGCGTGTGAGACCGAAGGTCCTGGATGCGAGTCCTACATGTGTGACCGTGGATGGGCATTGTTGGGGAGTCCCATACTAGGACGAAACGGTCATCCAGTGCTTTCAGGTTTTCGATGGTGATCTAGCTTACATCGACTCAGGAATTCAACTATTAAGGTCAAATATTTATTTAATAGATACACTGGAATTTATTTAATGTATATACATAAATCTATATATACCAAAAATGATACTTACACTTAATCGCAGATGACGTACTATATATCCATCATGTCTTTCCAACGACAACACACTAACACTTATATTTCCAAATGTTTTGCTGGTACCAGGCAATGATATAGATTGATAAAAATTTATACCTCGATCATTAGATAATTTTCCACTGTTTTGATTATCAGACATGTTATTGTTATTTTTATAATTATTGTTAGTAAATATTACATTACTATTATCTGTTATTGAAGATTGGTCATCTACACTTGCTATGCCACTATCGTGTAAATGTTTTGATATATCTATTCGACTACGGAGAATTCCAGATGGTTCAGTAGTAGCAATATTAGAACTAGTTGAAATTGGTGAGCTAATATTAGTTGTATCAATATCGGACTGATCATTTGAATGCCCACAATGATATGATAATGTTGAAGATTGTGAAAAGAACGGTGATGATAAAGTTGGTAATAATGGATTAGTTGAAATACTTGTAATCTGTGAATTATTTGTTGCAACAATATTTACAGATGATAAAGGATTATTATTATTATTATTGGTAGTGGTAGTAGTAGCAGTATTAGTATTGTTATTCATAGCATCGAAATCAGGTGTGCATGGATCACTTTTGAATAATGGACTAGTAGTAAATGATTGACTTTCCACAAATGATAATACATCCTCTTCACCAGAAGAATCAGGTAAATATAACTCACATTTAACCTATAACAAAATAAAAATGAATGAAGTAATCATTCTGTTCAAATTACGTGTATGATTCATATTTAATTAAATACGTATTATATTACATTGCATGAGAAAAGTATTTTCTTTTTGATAGAGACAAAATCTACTAAGTTTGTACAAATGACCGATCGCTACAGAATGGTATGATCAGTCTTATGTTTGTCCTTGTCCTTTTTTGTATCGATCGGATTCTGTTGGTCTGGTTGCAGTATGCCCACCACCTAGTCTAAGTAACTTGAAATGTAGGTTGAGTAGGGTTTCCCGTCGACTGCTTCTGACCACATCAAATTAAATATGTACCTTATCAATCATTGTTTTGCTATGATTAACAATTGGATTAGTTTACTACTTGTATTCTCATCGGGGTTCAAATGTAACAACAACAATATTTCCGAATGTAACACGATCAGGGACCTACAATAACTATTCTCTTTTAGGTAAGGATGAAAAAGAACAGGTTCTTGCATTATATCGGGGCCGATGTGATTGGACTGTTATTTATGAGAGCAGTTGTATTATCTAGCCCGATAATTGATTAATTCCCCCAGATTGCTCTATAGTGAACCAATGACCTTGTATTAGCCAATGAAAGATGCAATTACGTTTCTTGACCAATGACAGTAAAATAACGACCATGATTGATACTTAACACCTATTGCCCCAGGATTCAGCTACCCACATTATTCTGCCTGATAGTCAGGACGGGACTAAAACACAGCAAGTAGACAAACTTTTATTGTATAGTTCAGTTCCTAACTCGCAACTCGTTTAATATTATCGGTCCATCCATTACTTGACCGTACATAAATTAAAGATTACAATGTAAACATAAATGCAATATATGCGAAAAAGAACTGAACACCAATGCTGTCATAGATGAACAATAACTTGTGGAAGGCACAATACGGAACAATAGTTTATGCACCCAAAGAAAGTTTGTAAACAAAAGAGAATGTAAGGATTTCAATAATGCAAGTGTCAAATGTTTATACAATAAAAGTACAAACAATAGTTCTTCGTAAGATAATTTCAAAAATTACAACTTTCGCAATATTCACTTAATTATAACAATCTAATGCGGTGAAAACATTTTATTACAGCCGTTAATTGTTTCTAACGGTTGACATTTGTGCGTAGAGAAAAAACAAAATGGATAAAAATGTACATCAGTATTTATTCGCATGTTTTTCTTAGAAGTTCGGTAATTTGTAATCACAATTGACAACCATTTTTATCAATTACATTTTTTTTAAACAAGACAACAGAAAATTAAAACATTAATGTAAATATGTACATATATATCTGTGTGCGTATGCACGTAGTAGTCAAGCAGAGAGTGAATAAACATTAATTTTGAGGATCAGCCACAGTCCTAAACAGTAATGGGAAGATCCAAACAATCATACTATATGAGTTAAAAAAGAAATTCAGCCGATTGCACAAACCAGTGGTTATTTGTACTCAGTAGCTAAGTGGATAACGTATTAGCGTTTGAAGTGAACAGTAGTGGGTCGAGTCCCAAAGTGTATATCAAACTAGAGATGAAAGTACATCCAGACGATGAGTCGCAATCGGGACAAAACACGTGTCCTGCATTTCACTGCTACCCACCACTCAGCTATGCTTATGACAGATGTGTTATTCTTTAATTTAAATTCAATTAGATTAATTAAATAAGATATCCAAAACATTTATAACACAATTACTTGCATGCTTATTCTCAATGAGCGGAAAAGGACATTTAGGTGACGAAAACTCTAGTGGACGAAATTTGGTTCTAGTCAATGATCGTACAAAATACATTAATCAATAATTTAACACTAGAAGTACGATATCGTTTTTTTCACTTTATTCATATACATATACATTTCTAGACATAACAACTGAATGTAAATGATTACTGCCTTTTCGGTGACATTTATTCTCATCTCGAAGTAATTATATGATGTTATACGATGATATCTTGGCCAGACAGTTAATCTGAATGGAATACCATCATAGAATAGATGGAATGTGGCTAGTAGCGGTATCCAGAATACATGTTTTGTTCGTTTTGAAACTCGTTAGCTACACGTACCTGCATCTTAGAATTAATGTTCATCCCTACACTTGAACCGACTACCGTCCTCTTCAAATGCCATCACGTTATCCATTTAGATACTGAGTCCACATAGCCACTCATTTGTGTAACAATTATGAATTTTAATTTAATTTGAAATGGTTTGTATTGTTGTCAGGTTGTTGATATGTTTAACTGAAATTCGCACAGTCTTAGTTCGAAAATGTTGATCATGTGAGGATTGCCTATTCTACATGAACTTGTGAAATAATTGCTATATCGAGGTAATCGACACAGTACGTACATATAACAACGAATATCGATCAAATTTCTGTTAAAAATATCAACGCGATAATCCAAATAATCTCAAATTGAATTACAACTTTAGCTCTAGAAGGATATAAATAATTAATCTTTGTATGATTTTAATTCATTTTGTATTGTTTGTTTGAATCTTCTCATTGATATTCAGAAGTGCAATTGATTGGTCTTTTATCGGCATATACGCATCCTATGCGGATTGCGTCGATATTGAATTAGGTCACAAGCATTATAAGCATATATGTATGGTGGCTAGTAGTGGAATCCAGGACTTTAGTTTTGCCCTATTTGGGACTCGTCAGCTGGATGAACCTGCATCCTAGAGTTGGTTTCAACGCCGTAGCTCTGGGACGCAGTTAAATCCAGCTGACGAGTCCCGAATAAGACAAAACTCGCATCCTGGATTTCACTGCTAGTCACTATTCATCTTTGCTTATGGGTGATTCTATTTTGCCGAAATATAATCATTTGATACTGTAGGATTAATTCTGTCAAAAAATTAACAAGTCGATTCTTACACAAAATGTGCAAGTAAATGAACGAACAATTTTTGCTGAGTTATGTTCAATATTAATTTGGTCAATCTCTTTAACGTCAAAATTCGATAATTTGAGAAAATACAATAATTGAGTTTTCGACGAACAAGACTGAATTTATTTATTTATTATGTGACAGAAGTCAAAATAACTACTATTATATATATATATATGTAATCGGGCACAAATCAACACCAGCACATACGCGCAGACACACAAACAATCTACTTGAAATTGCACACAAGTAAATCGCGTATGGTAGCAATAACATACAAAATAAACACTGGACACAATATATCGATATGTAAGTTGAAACGTGACAACATAAAAATATTTTTAAAAACATAAGGGAAATCTACTCGAGTCAAGTGCATGCATACACACAAAATTCAATTCGGTTATATAAGGAATAATAATAACTGGAAATGCGTAGGTGGATAAAAAATATTTAAAACACACAGTTTATGGATGATGTATGATCTACCTAGATTTAATTTTCATTCATTTAAATAGAAAATATTGGTATCATCCATGAACCAAACAAACATTATTATATGACAATAGCAGGTCCTGGGTTGGAATCCCGGGTGCGGGATCGTGAATGCGCACTGTTAGGGAGTCCCATATTAGGACGAAACGGCCGACCAGTGCTTTCAGGTTTTCAATGGTGGTCTAACTTACATCAACTCATGAATTCAACTATTAAAATTACTACAATCTTCACAAACCCCATTCTGATCACAAGTAATCTATTGTTCAATAGTAAACACATTGGACTTTACCGACTATCTCATAAACAGAACTTTCACTTAACATTACTATTTTTAAAATAATGTTGGTTATGTTAGGTTAGATAGATAGATGAAGAATATATAATAATTGTGAAACAATACTAAATTGATACTAATTCATTTGAGTTATTTGATACACGTTGATCGGTGGTTCCAATAGGTTATAGGATCCTCAATTGGTATTCGAAACAACAGTTGTTCAACCCTACTATTAATAATACAGCTTTACACTGATTTATGACTTTCAGTTTAGATTTCACGCGTGAGAAGATACTAACCTGAGGCAATTACTAATTCTGATAGTTTGAAGCTCTAAAAATATATGGAACAATACATGGACAGAATATATTTTTGGTATATGAACATACGTCAACCATTACTTCCTAGAATATGGATGTAAGTATTGGTAAGGAATGAATTATATATAAAGGAGATAGCTTACTTCTTTATTTTCAACCAATTTCGTAATCATAACAATGGTCGGTGCATGAGAATACCATACCATACGCCAAAAATCATTTATTGTGTGTGGCATAACACCTTGAGTAGCAATAAATGCATTTGGACGACTTTTATAACCCTGTTCAAATTGATTCGTACCCGTCCGTTCAACATTGGTTTTCACATTTTTTTTTGAAAAACAAAACAATATTTATATGACAATTACCAATAACATTTAACATGACAAAGTGTTAAATTTTTAGTCAACAATTAAAATTTTTATCAAGTTTACGAATATAATGTCCAAGTTAAATGAACCGGATGAACGAGAAAGTGATAAGAACAAAATTATTTAACGGTTGCATAGTGAGAATTTATAAAGATAAAATGCTTAGAATAAAGAGAACATAACAGAAATATTTCTCAAGGATATCGATTGGTTGATAATTTGATTAACTACAATCCGAATAGACAACAAAAATGTCTTTTGAATAAAATCATACATAAGTAAGATAATTATACAAGGTGAAAAAAAAACTGTGATATCAGTAGATGGTATAACGACAATTGTACACTGTAGACAATTATTTAATTATTCATCCATTTGCATGAAATGGATAATGCTCAATCAGAGAATAATCAGCTAAAGTTTCAAGGTATATGTAAATATTATTATAGATTACATAATTCATACAATAATCTTAAAAACTGACATGGCTCCAAACTTATATGAATTTTGTCAGACTAGAAATAAATCTAATGTTTTTTTTTCTTTATAGTTCCTTATCTAATTATCACTTAAAAAGTTCATTTAAATAATGAACCGATTAATGCTAGATCATCATTGGGAACCTGAGAGCACTGAACGGCCAACCCGTCTTACTATGATACTCTACAGCAGTGTGCATCCACGAATCCGTACATGGGAATCGGACCTTGAACCGTAGGTCTCGTGTGTAAATCCTTAACATCTAAACCACAGAGTCAGCATCCAACAGTATTAATTTCTATCTTCAATCAATCCACTACATTGTATGACCATCTCCCATGGTCTTCGGATGGGTAACTGCCTCACATACGACACAGATCAGCTACACTGGTCAATGGTTCTCACTAGAATTTCAGAAATTTATTCTTGAAGCTAATAGCTAGTGGGCACAAGAGATTCATGCTTCGATTCCCCTGTGGAAATTCGTCGATGCGCACTACTACGACAAAACGGCCGTCTAGTGCCTTCAGGTTTTCAAATAGTGGTAAAAATTGGATTGGTTCATGATTTCACTGAGATTCAACAACCTCTACAACCACTTACTGATATTTAAAAATTTACCTCTGAGAATTACTATTACTGATATAAGCTTATCGAATATTGTTCCTATTATTTTTTTGCAAAAAAACAGAATAATTCCAGTAATACAAACATAGTCATTTCAACTCAACGCTATAGATCGGTCGTCAAATAACATCAGACTAATTACATCCATTGATTTTGAATTAACTACATTCGCAACGGCGAAAATGAGCATGATAATCCGTGTTGCACTAAATGATAGTTATTAAGATTATAATAATATACAATTAGCAGCAAAAAGGGTCATGACAGATGAATATACTAAAAGCAATAATGAAATACAATAACAATTTTAATTTCTATAAATAACTCATTTATCAGGTACATTATTCATTTGAATATAAGCCACACTCTTACCGTAAGAGCTAATAATACTGTCCGATTGCTCAAACAGAAACAGACGGGGCAGTATTCGAACCTAGAAATTAGTGCCTAAAACTCAAATGTTTTAATCACTGAGCCGTTGCCCCACTAAATTGGAGATAAGCATCCACGACTATACCTGGGATCGGACGCAAGACCTTTAGTCTCGCTGCAAGTATTTAGCTTCTGGATCACTTAGGTTACGAAGGAAAGAATTGTTTAGTAGTATTAAAATAATGTTAGTTCATCGACACTCTCTTTTAGCAAGAGCGTTAGCTGAATATTTTATTGCCAGTTATCTGTACAAAACGAACAGAACGCTATATATATAATTTGACTTACTTTAATATAATTTGCATTAATATAGCTGGAAGTTATATCATTGTTGATAACAGGTAATATAACACGAGTTGAGAAGTCTATGTAAAAAAGTAAATAAAAGAGATTACCAAGATAATTAGGAATGAATAAATAAACTATACATGTTTTTGTTGTATAATTGTTAAGTACCTAAACTATTCATATCCGTGTTTCTCTTATTATAAGCTTTATTTTGACCTATGAACTATAATTGTACCATTTATCATTCTTGAGTTATTCTCAGTCTATCAATTACTCTCTTCCACATTCACAGTCACATTTGGCTAAATCTTGTACAAATGTTATTTTCTATTTTCATGGTGCGATGTGGTCTGTTTGGTTTGTATATAAACCCAGTACATTCGAAATGCATGATTCATATCGCAGAGGCTGAGGTTGGTGTTCTGAAATTAACAGACAGGGCTAGGCAGGAAGCAGGACCGGAAAGGACTCTAGACTGCTCGTACAGGTTTACGCATCATTGGTTCGGTCTATAATTCACTGTTCTCTAATTGGCGGTATCATTACGTTATACATTATTAGGCAACAAGTTATAACAATGATGATGAACTCCATTCAATCAGTTGATGATCCAAAGTGTCGCGATTTGGTCGGTACAAAATCGATCATTGATTGATTATACTGGTTTCTAATTTTAATTTGACCTGATTAACACGAAATACTCACCAGTATATAACATCATAGTATTATGCCTTTTTAGTATAAAAAGCAACATTAATATTGCATACAAAATACGTGACAAAATCGATATGATTCAAAATGTGTGAACTTTAGTGGATGGAATTATTTTGAAAAACAATGAATAGATGATTAAAATTCAGATGAATAAAGAAATCAGTTAGAATCACAATTCAGAAAATCGAAACTATTGGTATTATAAAACAAGATTAATTAGTTTAAGAAACTAGAGAGAATCAATCCTGTACCAATAAAATGGGGGCAAAACAATCTTAAATAAGCTATTATTAAAATAATTACCACGGATTAGAAAAGCTCGTTTGGCTCTTGCCAACCTACGTCACCTATGGTGAAGGCGAGATATCCGTCTATCAATAAAAGGACGATTATACTGCGCGGCAATCCGTTCTGTTTTAATTTACTGCAGCGATACATGTCCATTAAGAGTAGAAGACACTCGTAAGCTACTAGTATTTGACCACAGATGCCTTAGAAATATTGCTGGCATCTGCTGGGATCACCGGGTAAGTAATAGTGAGGTTAGACACAGGGTGCTAGGGAACGATGGAAAATCAGTTGATGAGGTTGTAAATCTTCATCGACTAAGATGGTTGGGCCACGTGTTACGTATGCCTGAACACCGATTACCACGACACGTAATGCTGACTAGTGTTGGAGATGGTTGGAAGAAAGTTAGGATTGGTCAAACCAAAACGTGGCATCAGTCCTTGAAGTCACTAACTTCTAGTGTGAGCCATGTTGGTAGATGCAGACTACTTGGTTGTGGTTCGCGTGACTATCGTAACCAATGGTTCGAAACTCTTGGTGACATGTCTCAGAATCGATCACAATGGCGTAGGTGTATACACTCTTTGTTCTCCCTTAAACCGTAAGATTAAAATCGCTTCATATCTTTCTACGAACTAATTCTTTTTTCCTGTACTATATCCTGATATGCAATCTTTCTTTTATACATTACCACCATTGAATTAACTACTTTTATGAATCCGGTGTCCATCTTGTTGTGTTAATGAGGTATGGCAACTTGGACCGATGCATGTATGTGCCTGATCCCACGTTGTAGCTGACTGACTGACTGACTGACTGAATTACTAAAACGAAGCTTGCGATGTTTTCAAATCTTACCATAATTGCAAACATATAAAACAGAAACGTAGTCATAGAATGCAGATTCATTTGCCACACTTTACGTTAAACTTGGTGAGAGCGTGTACTAGTTGTATATGCTAGATGACTTCCATCATGATTGTTACTGAATTATTCCTTGCTCACTTAATTACGCCTGTTACTCCTCATGGAGGAGCATAGGCCGGAATTATTTTTAGTCACTTGTTAATCATCTCATTGTGTTAGTTTATTCTGGTATCTTCGGTTGACACACATTTGTGTAGGGCTCTGTGTTGATTGTTATTGACTGCCTAACTGCGTTTGTGAATTTTAGCAACAGTGTTTATTTTTTGCATTGCTTTTTAACATAACATATTTTATAAATTTTTTTAGTATCTGTAAAAAACGGAAAGGAAATAGTTTGTGCTGTTTTCCTTCTTTATTCATTTATTTGTTCATTGTTTCTTTGTTTTTATTACTACTCCTATCCATTTCTTTTATTTCCTTTTTTATATGTTGATAATAATTATCCTCATCATTATTGTGTTACTACAGCACATCCAATACATTAACATTTCTATTCAATATAACTGATTTTAACTGTTTTTTTCTGATAACTCGGTGTGTATTTGTTTATACAGGTGTGTGATATATATGTATTTAGGTTTATGTATGTATGCATGTATGGATGATGATGACGATGATACAAGAGAAAGCAATGTTTCTTCTTTATGTCACAGTTTAATGCATACATTTTTCGCCCACGCATTTTCACTGAAATACACCTACACCTACACACGTACTTTTTATTTTTATAGTCTATTTTTTGAATGATTGAATATTTGTTTTGTTGTTGTTATTTGTATACAAGTGTTTGAATTTCGGAAAAAAAAGATGTAATAATAGTGGTCGGTTGTAGTGTCACGTACACGATGCTTTATGCGCGTATGCATATGTATGCATGTATGGTTTCTAGTTCATAGTGACCTTTTGTAACGTACACTTACCTACATACCCACCCACCCACATTACATCATACGCCCACTCATGACCAAATTCCATCCACCTTGCTTCACTTTGCTCTCTAGTAATGTTGTTTTCTTTTTCTTTGATTTTATCAGTTATATATATATATATAATTAGTGTAACATACTGATCGTTTTAACTTATGTGAATAAATAATTCATATTTCATTTTCTTATTATAGGCAATAGGGGTTAAAATCAAATTTATTTTTCAAATTTATGATTCTCTATCTGCTTCATTATGTTTATTAAAGAAATTCTATATTCCATTAAGAAAATTTAGAATTATGAAGATGTAAACAAAACGTAAATTGGACAATACAGTACTCCTTTGTACGAAAAACATAAATTACATTGGAAAATTGATATTTATTTACCTATCAAAATTGCAATGCTTGACTAACATGTTATTTACATGGTGGACATTATAAAAGTACCAATGTGTCGACGTTAAGTAATATAAGTATAATAAAAACATCAATAGTCAGTCAGTCAGTAACAACGTAGAACTTCGTACGTACGTACATCAGTTCGAGTTGCCACACCACATTAGCACAGAGATGCCGTGGTCGATTCAAATCCCGTAGTGATAGAGGTAATAAGAGTATAAGCAGTAATCGGAAAGATTAGTGTTTGGAGATGTTACTTAAAGAGTATAATACAGTGAAATAAACTTGGAAAGAGAAAAAAAAAGAGACAAGGGGGAATCAGGAGATCAAAATTTGGGAGAACATCAATAACTCAATTATAATAAAATTAAAAATATAAATAGTTTATTCACTAATTTATAATAATCTGATCAACAGATTTTTTTATTAGTTCACTTAACTTCTATGTTCCTGAATAATTTAAAAACTAACTATTTTGTACAATAAATTATTTAATTCTTCTTCTTAGCTAATATTTGTTCAGATCTTGAAGTGAATAAAACCCAAGTAGAAGTAATTCAAAATTGATTTAATGAATTAAGTAAACATATACACCTAAGGGCTAAATTTGATGAACGATTAATATTTTGAGCGCTAAACTGTCAACCAGTAGGTTATATTTATAAATTTTATTCCAGTTTATGAATCATAATCAAAACAGAGTTCAGCACAAATGTATGTGAACCCAAGTTACTAGCATACTTTAACACAATCAGATGAAATGAATAAGATGAATAACAAGTGACTGGAAGATTAACCATTGAGTACATGCTCCCAAAAAGGTGAAGGGAAAGTAGATATCTGAAGAAATACAGGAAGTCGAGATTTAAAGGAAGAAAGTGTGAATGAATCTTCACTACTACTCCATTGATTTTGAATCGTGTTACACAACGCTTCCATCTACAGTTCAAGTGAACCAAAGACAGAGTGAATCCATCAACTATGATGGCTCAAACAGACAATCACTGACATCATAAAATGATCTCGTGCATTGTTTTGGCCGCCACCGGTTTAATTCCAATCCGTCCCTACATCACTCAACCTCGTAATTCGAGTTAAGGGTTGGTTGCTTAGATGTAGGTAATCCATGTTCAAGTCTCGTCAATCGATGAAGATCTATAGCCTTATAAACCGACTTACCATTCTCCCGTGATAACAAATCACTAACCTCAAAAGTAATGATTCAGTTATTTCACTATGTTTGAGACATTTGTAATAAAATGTTTACAGTCACTGTATGTTTCATGCCTGTTTCACATGAATGGAGTAGTGCAGAGTGATCTGATGTGCGTCGGTACACTCACTCTTGTCGGCAAAGGGATATCTCAACTTCGCAACAAGTGACAATATTGATAACAGATACTGTTTTTTGAAGATATACAATAAAGTTATCAGTACTGTATCTGTATGATAAGATAATAACTCTATTTATTGTAAATGACACTCTACCGTATGACAAATAAAGCTGAGTAACTATAAACATATTTTATTTATTTTCATTTATTCCAAGTATTAATATAGCAGTAAAAGTTTTCCAATGCTTTTTATCATATAAAAGTACACAGTATAGTAATTAACTGAAAAATGTGACTAATTTTGTGAGTAGCAGTTTATCTGATAAAATCAGTCAGTCAAACACAATCTAAAATTTGGTACGTGTGTACATCGGTTTCAGTTGCCGTAACCTATTAGCACAGTGAGACAAAATTCTTAAGATAAATCTTAGAGTAGTTAAGGTAGTAAGTATTAATGGTAATAGAAAAGATTAGACATCGAAGA